GCTCGCGCTGTGCCTTCGGCAGCGCTCCCCCCGCTTCACCTCAGCGGATCTTCTCCACACTTGTGTGAGAACACGACCCTCTTTTTGCTGCAGGAGGGTTTCGGGTACGCGGAATTCCAGCATACGCTCCGTAGGGAAAAAAAAACACTAAACGGTGCTTGGAAGGAGAGCTGGGAACGCAGCAAACCGCACAAACGCCGTTTTCTACTTCCAACTACGCGCTGACGGGGCTCCTACCTGCTAGAGCCCGATGTCGGATGCGGCGCGCCAGACGTGCCAGCGTTGGCAGCTCCGTGCACGGAAGAAGATGGATTGCCGTCTTGAGATGCATGACTGCTCCCTGGAGAGAAACAGACGTGTCACGAGACCAACAGACGCAAAGTTTGGGCACGAGGAGCGCTTGCAAGGCGCTGACAGTGTCCACGTGATTAATCAGCTCCCGAGTTTTGTCCGTGGCCTCCCGGCGCGCGATCCGCGCTCCGGAACGAGGTGCTGCCACTCTCCCAGCACCCGCCAGGAAAGGGGCAATCAGGCGGCGATATCCTGGCTACCATGCCACCTTTAGCTGACGTCAGGTCCGACTTTTTCTGCGCGCGTGGTAAATTGGAACGGTTTTCCAGGATTCGGATGAATAATCCCAAAAAACCTCAAGAGAAGACTCGGCTCAGGCTGTACGCCTGGCCATCGCGGACACAACGGTCCCCTGCTGGAGCAGAGGGACCAAAGCCAGGCGCCTGCTGGACACCAGCGTTCCCGGAAATCGTCCGCTACCAGGTGAGCGGCGGTTTGACGGGAAGCGATTTATCCAATGAAATATAAACCTGTCGGATTTGGGAGCGGGAAACCGAGGGCAGCTTCGCGCTCTCCCTGGGGACCAGCTTATTTCCTGTTCCCTTTTGCAGGTACCTGATCGGAACTGGATTTTGATGGGCCTTCCGTACAGCTTGATCCCGTTAAGCAGGCTCAATCCGTAGGGGACGGATTCCTCGTGCTTGAAGTTGACGAACGCGAACTGCTTGGGTCTGCCGTCCCGGTCCTTCGGGATCTTCACCTTAACCACCG